ATTAAAATTATTGTAAAGTATTAAAAATTATTGGAAGCTATTGCAAAGTATTACAAATTATTGAGGATAGTAAAAGAAACTAGAAACACTTGAAAACTACTCAAAACAATTTTATACTTTGGTTATGGCTCATTTAATAAATCATAGCCTTATATAATAGTATATCTCATTCAATGTATCTTTTTTTTTTGTCTATACATCGCAGTACAAAATAATGTAGAAGCCGTATTGGTATATCTTGGCTGCTATCTTTTCACATTGTTAATGAAAACATTCCATTGTTAATGGAAGCCTAATAAGTTCATGAAAATTCTACAAATCAGAACTATCGAAATAAATAATAGGTCATTTTCAAACTTGAATAATTCTGAGCAAACAAAGAATAAAAAAAAGTCTAAAAAATGTCTGTAGAGAAAAAATGAACATAGCATCTTCGTTGCATATAAATGATCCTAACAACCGAGCGATATATCAAAAACGGGTGACGAGAAAAATGAGCACTACAAAAGCCTTCACTTTCAATGCAGAACATGGTACATTAGTACATAAATAATAAAAGACTATATTGGTATATTGTTTTTCTTATATTTTGGCCAGCTTTTTGATGCTAATACTCCACTGTGCAGCGTCCATAATATTTCAAAAAAGCGGCTTAAAATTTAGTATGTACCTTCAGTGCGTGTATAGCCACAGCCCGAAATAGAATTATCTCAAAATCTTTTTTCTAAGTATTCTTTCTTAAGCCTTCTCGAATGTTGATAAAATATGAAATGATCGACGCTTAAACTTCGAAGTGCCGCTGTTTTGTTAAATATCAACTTTTTCTTTCGTTCTAGTTTCTATTTTAGCCAAACTCATCCAGATCAAGTATTCTTGCGGTTCTTTTATTTTAGATAAACAGGATATCCCGAGAATCACGGACACTACGAAACGATTCTTATAAGCGAATTGTATACGAGGTCACGAAATGCTACAAGATTTGATTTTTTCTCAATAAAAAAAATTATAAACGATACTGAAATATGTATAAATGTACTCAAAATGTTTTTACTGCAAAATGTGTCTGTAAATAAAGTTCTGAATAAACAATACAAAAAGAAAAAAAACCGCGTTTCACATTAGAATACTCTCTTGATCGGAATGTATTTATCTTGATCATGATTCGTGACTTGGATGATCGAAGACGGTAGTAATAGCATTGCACGGCTGGATTCGGGGATACGTATTTGAACATTTTTTTGTTAGAAAATTCCAAATATATTTATAAATAGATTTGATTCACAAACATAAATAAATATAATACAATCCGTTCTTTTATATATTTTTATAACGTTCATTTATCGCATAAATTTGAAGGGTTCAGCTCGTCTGAAAGGACACTTGTTAGCAGCATTTCGCGCAATTAAGTACCGTAATACTAATACTGGCACCAGTTCGTTGAAAAACCGACGACACGATGACGACGAAGTCCCGGCGAAAAGCAAAATATCTTCCGAATGGAGATTTCAGAAAATTCCATGGCCATTCATCCGTACGTTAGCATGTACACGGTAATATTTCTTTGAAGCTGTCTGTCACGACACGATAACTCGTTAGCGAATAGGAACTCTTACAGCGTTTCCCTGTAACGCGACTCGTCGGCGCTTTTTCGAATGGACAAGGACGGAAGGAAATTACAAAGTGAAATAAAACCGAATGGATTTCGACGTTAATACTATGCTGAATTAATCGAGTTATTGTCGCAGCCTTCCTCCCTGTCCGAAACGATTTCGGAAGATGAGCTCGAGCGAATTATCCGAGCCGCTTCGCGCCGTTGCTCCGTCGAACTCGTTAGGATTTCGATCTTCCGTAGGCGCGAATAAAATGGCAGTGACCACGAAATAATAATGGAACGGCGAACAACCGTTCGAATCGAATCGGAATTACTCCCCGACGTGACGAACGACTATTATTCGCGACTGAACACAATGATGATGCGAGACGTTTACGTAGTCTCCAAGGGACAGCCCGAATCTGTTCGGCGTTGCTTCAACCGCGAGGAAAAGAAAAAAAGATTCCACGATATTAGAGTCGCCGAGTGAACTTTTCTACACGATGAGATTCGTTTCTTCCGTCTGGTTTTCGAAGCGCCCTACGGCGAACGGCCAATCCCTATCCGAAATTCTCTTGAGTTTTCCGCTTAAGAGATTTAAAAGATCGTCGAGATATCGCATGTCGCAAACCTCCTGGCGCAGTTTGCTCGTGCTACTGGAAATGTCGTCCATTTTTCGCTCGTCGCACTGTAAAATACGATTTTTCAATGCGTTATCATTGTTCGCGTTGATATCTTTGTCCGTAATAAACATTGCTAATGATGCAGCACTACGTGCCCCCCTCCCCCACCCCTATCGGCGTCATTATCTCTGAATTATTAGTTTACATCGAATGATCGCGAGCACTGTGTAATAATATATTATTGTTCTCGGCCAGGTGGACGCGATCGTTAATAGATGATATACGAGGGTAATGCAGCCGAAACGCGCACGTACCAATTAAATTGATATCGGGGCGTACGGACAGTTCGTTCCGCTATTGCGATCAAGTTGAAAGGTGACACGAGCGAATAATCTTTACGAGGGCTTCTTTCGCGTCGTAATATGCAACGGGAGTAGAACGAGAACAGAGTAATTGCAGGGCAGAGGAACCAATTAATGTGCCCTGTTTGCGAACTTCAGAGGTTTTCGCTACCGAAAACAATTTTAGCAGCTCAATCGACATTTCTTAAGAATTTAAAGGTAAACATCGAAGCTTCATTTATCGATGTACGTTTTTCCACGAAACAAATATCGAAACTTCTTTGAACATTGGGAGAAAGAAAAGAAAATGTTCTGGAGCCACCTACAGTGCTGCGAATAATTATAAATTCAATGTAACTTTTACAATTTTACTGATATTTAAACAAGAAACAACAAAAGACTGTATTTGTATGTTTCTATTTTTTGTTATTTCTAATATAGAAGTACACAAATATGATATTTTTTAAGTTTTCGTTGTGATATCAGTGACGATGTAAAAGTTATTTTGAAACTATAATTATGTACACTATACTTTTATAATAATAACAATAATAATAATGATGTCATTTATAACCTCGAATGAATTTCAACGAATAAATAATTAATTGTATTTGGATGAAAAAATGTAATACGTCTTATTCGATAAATGTACCGTAATTGGCTCCACTACTCTGATTACGTTACGTTCAGAGAGAAAGATCCCGTTTTGTTATTATACCCGTGCAACGATTTGAATGCATAAGAAACACAATATCCTTACACGGAATGAATAAAATGAATAGCGTGCACAGATCGTGGCGTATTCTCACCTGAAAACTCTGTCGCAGGTTACATATATCTCGGAACATATCTTTATTACTGGCCTGCAGCATTTCCACTCTCCTTTGAAGATCTCGGACCACATTTTCCGAAGTTTCGAGCACATCCGGGTCTTTCGCGTCCGTTTCTATCGCCAGGGCTAGCCTGGTTAGCCGATCGTGGGAGGAGGTGCTATCGCAGAAACGATCCTCCTCGAGAAGAACCACCGCTTTTTCGGGATCTGTGTCGAGAACTTCGAGAATTGATACCGCCTCGTTGATAGCGGTGCATCGCCCCTGTAAAACGTAATCCCAACTTTAACACTAAACCTACCGAGCGGTGATGGTGTAGGGGCGAGCCGACATGAACACGATAGAAAAAAGAATACCGAAAGACCATTCTACTTTAACTTGATCCTATTGGAAAGGCCAACTAACTCGCTATAAATTTACGTGATGCCATTATCCTGCTTCTACATTTATACCCTCGGTAATAAGTACAATCCGGACATTACTCGTTATACAGCCGGAGTTCATCCTTTAGCTGATTATGTATTGGGTTGACAATTAAGTAATTGCCCATTTCAGTTATAGATGTCTCTCACTCCCATTTTTATGATATCCGTAAATGTTATATTATAAAATTATTATTATTATTATTATGTTATTTTTTATTATCCGCGAATGTTAGCAACTGGACAAATTGAATGCAGCGGTCAAGGAAAAGCGACCAGAATTGGTC